GAAGTCCGCTAGGTCCGGTATTGGCTGACATCTTCATGACGATGGTTGAAATGAGATGTGAGCAGCACATCAATCAAATGTGTTTATACAAGCGATACGTTGATGACACATTAGTGATCGCCCCAAGTGGAAACAATTTTTAGTTTGCATTTCACATGCCGATTTGTCATTTTCAATGCATTAAACATGTCAAACAATACAATTCTGTAGGAAATTCTTCCACTGCTTCCGCCATAAAGCAGATCGATCAACGGAGTCAAAATCCGCACGTATGGCTAGAAATACAACGATGGTGGGCCTGTGATAAATGTGACGATGTTCGAGGAGCTGGCGGAGCGTGAAGATTTGATCCACGCATCCGCGGCCAGGACGGAAACCAGCTTGTTCTTTACGGTAGGATGATTCACGTATTGAGGATAGTCTGGGGAGCAGAATGGGTGCCAATAGGTTGGAGGCAACCGAAATAAGACTAATCCCGCGATGATTTGCACATGAAGTGCGAGCGCCCTTTCTGTAAATCGGGACATTAACTGATTCGCCCCAAGAGGTAGACACTTTCTCTTCATGCCAGATTTTTTTAGAACACCGAGATAAACTGGTTAATGATCGCCACACCGTCGTACTTGAACAGCTCCGGAGAAAGTCCGTCTGAGCCTGCAACCTTGAACCGCTTCAAGCGTCGAATCTCGAGGCAGACTTTCGATTCGCTGAGTGGATTCAGTGGGATGAGTCAGGGTGGACAACAAGGTGTACTGCATGTACTGATGGACGGTAGAGGCCAGTTGAACTGCGAGTGAAAGTGCTCGGCCCAGCGGTCCATACGCCTCTGTTGGTCGGTGATCGGAGGCTCATCCACCTCACAAATGGCCTCACTGACACCAGGCTTCCTGAGGCCAGTGGACCGAATGAGTTGGAAAAGCTTGCGAGTGTTGCCAAAGAGAGCAGCGATCTCCATCTCTAAAGCACGCTCAGACCACAATGCCTTGCGATCCTTGAGCAGTCGGTTGGCAGAACGGCGCCGCTCGTTGCAATCTGATTCCGCCGGGATATCTTTGTGGCGTTCGAACAGCTCCAGAGAACGAGAAGAGATCCAAGCCTTTAAGGGGCGTGGAGCTAGGTCGCAGTTTGATTGTCCGGAAATGGTCATCGCTTTCTGTATACAAGTCCAGTGTTGCTCCACGCCTTGCGGTGGATTGCAACTGAGTGCGTGTGCCAGTGAAGACTGATGGGTCGCATGGACAGAGGAAGCAGTTACTCTGTTTACATCACGCTTGCGGTGCTTCGTGTTTCCGGACCCACCAAAACACATACAGATTTTCGCGCAGACCAGTGCATGATCTGAGTCAACGAAGGTGGACCAAAAGGACCTGCAGTCCAGTACGTTGCCATGCCATCTGAAGCTAATTGCAATGTGATCAATTTGAGACCACGGTTGTGTTGGCGAAGGGTGCCGCCACGTTGCGGAATGCTTCTTCGTACGCCTGAAGTTAGTGTCCGAGAGGAACAGACGGTTGTCTTCGCACAATGTGAGAAATCTCTCTCCGTTATCAGAGCGGTTCTCATCGAGCGCGTGGGACCACCTAAGTGGCGTTCGTATGGTAGCAGGTGGCCAGCTCGTGCATTAAAATCCCCAGCAAGGACAACGACATCCGACTCTTTAGCATTAGTCGAGAGCTGATGTAGATCTCGGTAGAATTTGTCCTTGACCGAGCCGCCACTGCAGTCAGTTGGAGCGTACACGGAGATCCCAAACGAGTTGCGTCTCTCTTCGCGGCGCTTGTTGATTCTACATGAACCCCGAAGCCGAACTGCACATAGTCGGCTGTTAATCGGGAATCAGTCCAGTAGTGCCGCCTCGGCCTTGCCACTTAATGCTACACCTACACCATCCAAACCCGCTGAGGCTGCTTCTGGATCTCCAGAAGGACGCAGGTGATATCCTGCTTCATGGTTAGTGGAGATGTTATTGTAAGCACAGTGCTGGGATCTTGTCATCGGGATTCTGAAAGGCAGCAGACATCAATATCGAGGGACTCTACGGTGCGCGCTAGACCGGCTTGCTGTCCAACTTGCTTGAGTGTCCGAACGTTAAAGAACGCCAGACGGAACGAGGAGTGGGGACGAAGGAAAGCCATAGGTTGAACTCCGTGGTTCGCGGCGCAACCGGAATTGCAGCCAGATTTTTGAACACATGAATCGGGTAACGGAAAGTAAGGATTGTTAGCAAACAAACAATTGGCGTATAATGAAATCGCGTGAATGTGAATCAGAAACGGTAGGTAATGAGCACGTTGTAGTACAGTCCATGGTTTTGTGAGGGCGTGATACTACCCGGTTGCCCAAACCGAAGTAGGGAATTGACTTAGGGGACCCCACCCCGAGTCTTTGGCAAAATAACCTACCGCAAGGCAGAGGGGCAAATTCAGGAAATCGCGCCTATTGGTAGAAGCTGACTGAATGTTCAGTTTATGCGCCTTTCGTTTGGTAGATCACCAAACAGGGGCCCAATACGCCCCATGAAATCAGCACAATTGCTGGACTACAATGCCCCACCGAGGTGGAACACTGTCGCTGGAATGGGGTACACCCGAACCACCCAGCAGGCACCACGATGAGGTAGTTCTCCAAGCCAGCCTGAGAATAAGTATAGCTTAGATCAAGTTTCGAGAACCTTTTCCACCTGACAAAGTTGCCTAAAGGTCATCTATCCGTGGAATCGAATAATTTTCCGTCATCGTCGGTTGATTGACCGTCAGTTGATAATCGTCGCAAATGCGATCTGAGCCATCAGGTTTCGGTACAGGAACGATGGGTGCAGCGCAGGTGGGGTGGCGTACGGGTGAAATTATTCCGTCCTTTTATAATCGCCCTACCTCTAGCTCTACCTTCGGACGGATTGCAAAAAGGAGACTCAGTGCCTTGTAAAATTTCGGTTGAATCTGTGGCTCTATATTCAAGTAAGCTTTGAAATCACGTAAATTCCCAGGTATGTTTGTATCAAAAACACTGGCAACTTCTTTCAAGGATGTAGGTAGGTCAGAAATACTGTCCACCTTTTCGACAGATTGCAATATTTCCAGTATGTACATTAACCAGTTAATCTAAAGTAGGTTCGGTCCTTCTGTTAACAACGATTAGAGGAAGAGTCAAGGTATTGTCCCCGTGATTTACTTTCAAGTCACTCACGCCCAATACAGCGAGTATTTCCCCAGTGTATGATCGTAATTTAAAATGAGCCGGAGTTAGAACTAGGTCGGGCAAAGTTCGAGTGTTGATTAAGGTAACCAAGGCCCCGGTATTGAGCTCGACGTACTGGTTGGTATTCAAGGTTTAAATCAACAGTGTACGGGAGTATTTCCATTGCGTGTGATGTGGTTGTGTGGTAAATCAGATAAAACATTAGATCCGTTAAAATTCGGGGAACGCCTCTGTTATGACTACGTAACGCCTGATAAGATTGGCACTGGCACGGTTGAAGCACACCTACGGCAACGGTCTGGAACGCTGACCAACCGAACGAATTTGCACTGACCTGATGGCGTAGCTTAGCCCGGAGTACGCGCTGATGAGACGGAAATTGAGCGAGCGTGAGAACGATCCTAACCGCACGTATTCGAGTAGATGCTGAGCCCTCGGAACGGACGCACACGAGAGGGGGTTACGGTAGACGCGCGCTAGCGACTTAGACGCGAACGCTGCCCGGCTATAGACGCACACAAAATCACGTGACCGACTGACTCCCAACCAAGGCGAAAAGAAAGAAAGGCAAGTGGTCCTCTGGAGGCTCTTATACGACCAACAAAGGGCGAATCACAGCCAATGCTATGGGTCATTAAGTTAGGGAAAATTGCTACCGCGACGAGGTGGCAGTTTGCAAGACCATTGTCAAAAGGTGCGAAGTTGGGCCGCGTCTCGGAGTAGCTGAACACTGCTGCGTTGTGGGGAGAAATTTGACTCCGCTTCCCACAGCCGTTATGCCGGAGTTTCTGGCGCGCTTTTGCGGGGATTTTTGACTGGCCCCCAACAGGATTGGTCGTTGAAGCAGAGTCGAACGACATATGCGTGTAAGATGTCCAACCTTTCCGCACTTATGACAATGTTTGTGTATGTAATCAGTAACCTTTCCATGCTTCTCGGCGCATATGTAGCAAGTAAGGAAACATTTTCGGTGGGTGATAGTCGAGATTAAACCGCATGGATGGCATCTGAAGGAGAATCACTTGGATACTGAATTAATTGTTGCTCGACGCTTTCCCTTTGTCTGGCCGGTGAGAAAGCTGTTTCCCAGGTGAGTTTATTCTCGTCTCCTGACAGCAGGTGTTCTCTAGCTTTATCGTCTCGAGTGCCAACCCAAAGGTATTGCACCGTCAAATTCTCTTCGTATTTCGTTACGGGAATTTCATTGTAATGGCAGTCAGAAAGGGACTGTTGTATACGACAGATGAATTTATTAACACTCTTCTCTTCTCCCTGTCGTAAATGAGAATAACTTAAGCGCGCAGTAAAACATGTTGGCCCTGCCTCCAAAGACCACCCAAGGCGTTAAAGCAGTCAGTCAGGGATGTGCTTTCGTACAAACGCAATGCATCAAAATGCCATTGACCTTCTGCACCAAGGTATTGTCTCAGTTGTTTGATAGATCAGATTCACTAAGTTTGATATAGGGGTGTGTAATTGTGAAAGTTCGTTTTCAACGATTCCAAATTGCTAAGGATGGCTTGGATTTCCTGTCCTTCCAAAAAGGAGCAGGCGGGGTAAGATGGCTCATAGTAATTTATTCCAAGTTAAACCTTCGTCGCCAAAACGTCACAGTTTAGCACTTGCGGAACTAACTCACAATGGCTGGCTCTTAGACGAAGTAGCACAAAAAGAAACACGTCAGGCATATGGTAGGCAAAACTGTATTCTAACCGGCCTGTTGTACAACGCCTTGATCCACTATTCTAAACTAGGCAAACCGATAAATTGGTGAGCGGGTTACTGATACACGCCAGCAGATGCAGGCAATGAATGGAAACGGATCAGTAAATTAGCCGTGAGGACGCCACACATACGTACATACATAATGTCCTGCACATTCACTTGCCCTCTCACATATTTCATCATAATCAACTCTTTTATTTTTCAGTTGATGTACTTTCATTGTTAGATCAATAAAGTGTATACTTCCGACTCCGTATTATTTCGTTCGTTGTGCAATCTCTGTCAAACGCATCCTCCGGCAAATGGAAACGTAATGCGAAACATTTCGAGAAACAAGGGAAAACGCCACAGATGTGATGTGATCCTATCTGAACTACTACCCACATTCGACAAGGTGAAAACGAACGGAAGCTTACTGATCGAAAGAACGTGTTAAGTTAGGGTATTATACAAACTGGGCACGGAGCGCCCTTCATGAAACCAGTACAATTTTCCACGTTCCACAGCCACCAGCGTGGGGCCGTTGGATATTCCAACAGGTGACTGGGACCAACCGGGCCGGAAGAAAATTTGTGGAGGTGGAGTATGGGCTGCACGTAACTCGTTCTGTGGAATCTCGAGCACGTGGATTGGCTTGCCAGTCCGTAGGGTCCAGAGGGCGATGTGTGCCGAGGCTACCAGTGGAACAGCCACCATATCACTTTCCAGCGTGGGAACCGAAGGAATGGGAGGGAGATGGGAGGCCAGATGACACAATGAACCAGCGTCCGAACCGTGATATTCCACAGCAGCACAGGCTGGCCAGCGCTCGTCCCAAAGCTGTAACAAGCCGCAACGACGGCCCACTAAAAGGCCGTACCGGTGTCCCGACGGAGTTACCAGTGAGCGGAGAAAAGTGACAGACAGGTCTGATTGATCAGAAGTTGTGCAGGAGGGAGATGAAACAGAAAATGTAAGAAGCCGTTCATTTCGTTGAATGGAGAAGGAGGAGAACTGAAGCAGGTTCAAAGAGTGAGAACCGGAGATGGAGGATGCCACGTAGAATAGGGAGGCATCAGAAGTGGGGAACGTGGAGGCCTCGCAGCAGGCCGTAACGGAGGATGCGGTCCGTGTGGGCTTAATGGAGTGTGTCATAATGCACCCCAAATCCAATGAGCTCGAAAGGCGGGATACAGAAAAGCACAGTTTATTCTGACATCGGACGAACAACCGCAGTGGATCTTGAGATGAATTATCACATGATGAAGGATAGGAGCAATCTGTGCTCCTCGCGGATTCCACAAAATGCATCGGTGCACAAGCTCGTAGAGGTAGTAACAGATTGCCCAAAATTTGGCTGAGTCCATCTGAAGGAGTGAAATAGTAAATGAGTAGAAAAAAGATGTAACATTACGATGATGAAAATGGCGTTCTAGGCTGAGATAGGCTGCCGAAGTTGTCAATACAGCCAGCTTGTGACCCGAAACATCCGCCACTCAACAGTAAAATCAGAATATAAAACATAGCGGCAGATTCAGCTGAGTTTAACGGTTGAAGAATCGAGGTACACTGGATCCAGTCATCTTGGCTGCCGTCGCCACAACAATAGCAATAACAAGTAGTTAAAGGTAATACGAAGTGAAGTGTAACAATGCCAACGAGACCTTATTGAGGTACCATGTCGGATGACGCTTATAACAAACAAACATGCTGAAGAGACAGTTTGGACATGGGATGGAGTTCGCAACAACGCATTACCGACAGATAGTGAATAAACACAGTGGTGTGTAATTCGGTGATAGCTTCGAAGGTTGCAACTATGTGCGCCCGTATAGTGAAATGATGGGGAAACCAACGGGCTCAGATGGGCGTCAAATAAGAATAACAATGTCTTAGTGGCACAATGGTCCCATGGTGAATGGGATGGCACAGGATCTGTAATTTTCAACCCGATGACTACCAATCCGATGGCATCAGAGCATAACAAGAACAAAAACGATGACTGAGAAAATTTGGAGAGTAGTGGTAGAAGAGGAAAAGTTAACCAAGAAACGGCGGATAAAGAGGTGTTGAGATAAACTAGGAAAAGTAGGGTACAAGGGAACAGATGCAACCTTACTATAGTAAATAGATTTACCAAACAGAGGTATGGACGACTGCGAGAAACTCGTGTGATAAAACGTGCACCCGACAAGGTCAAAAAATGCGCAACACAGTCGGAAATGGTGTGCAGAGGAAGTGTGGCAACAAGCATAAACTGTTCGACATCAACAACCAATCCGGAGGTTATGACGTCGTACTTTGGATCATAGAACCATTCGCTCGGCGTTCCAATCATAAGTAGCACTTGTTCACAAAGACCGGTGATCAGCTTGATTTCCAATGTTGATGACCAGTATAGTAACCCCAGTCAGAATGCAATATCGAGAAACCGAGAGTTGACTGGACATGGAAAGGTTACACTAGCCCGATGGATGCACACGAAAATTCTTCGGTTCTGGAACATCATAGGGGAACTAGCTACCTAAATAAACGTTTGGCCGTTTAATTGTGGTTGTGGTGAGAACCAGTGATGTTAGTTGAATCGTACAGGCATCTTGCAATGCAAAAGAACGAAGGGTATACAAAGAGCGCAGTGCAGTGCAACGGTTTGAACAACAAAAAGTTAACTTACAAGCCACGTGTTGGTCTAAAATTCGAGTGGATCCATCACTCAACTATCTGTGGTGCGTATTCTTTCGTGCCCGCGCTAGTTAATGGTAGTTCGTTCTTCCATAAAATTGACCCGTCTATTCGAAGAGGTAGGGGAAGAGGAAACCAACCCGACCAAATGGAGTGATTTAATAATATCGGCAACATGAAAGTAGAGTGATTGCGATATTTACGCCATCAACAAAGAGAGCTTGAAGCAATTGTTTAAGCTTCCCGGTTGCAGTAGGAGAATCCCTAATGACAACAGCGAGTAAGCTTACAACGAGACGGATGCTGCGCGACAATGGTAGGCAGTGCCGTTGCTGTTGTCATCGGAATATTATTTTTACACTACTCGCTGGACTCATTGGGCTTTCAAAATTAGTTTAGCCTTTGTTTAAATGAACTAACTCCACAGTCACCCATGTTGTCATACTCCGCAGACTATCTCACATTCATGAATCGCGGTAGCGGGGGAGAACAAGCTGGCATCTGACCTGGACGCGGATGTAAGGATCAAAAATGCACTCTTCGCTAAATCCTCGAAGACCACCACCTTTAACAGAGGCCTAGCATTGCTGCATTTTTGGACATCCGTATTGCATTCGACCTGCCCTATGGCGTTGTTTTCTAAAGAACGGGGTCGCAGAAACGTACACTGCCATCCTACGCCCACTCTACCTCCACATCTCCGGCAGAGTGAGGGTCTATGACAGGCTTTCGTCGTTCTCCGCTGTCAATAGCAGTGTACGACAAGGCTGCCCTATGTCCCCGTTCCTCTTCAATTTTGCGAAGGAAGTCGTTATGTCGAGTGCTTCGGACGGCTGCCCAAATTTTGGTCTACAGCTACTATCGGGCAAGCGAGCGACAAACTTGTATTATGCCGATGACAGCGCCTTACTTGGTGACGACTCACAGAGCATACGAACCACTCTAGACCGATTGACGATGGAGGCATCTCGGTACGGAATGTGCTTAGCACAAGTGTAAAGTGCTGCTTCAGAATCATCCGTTCCCGTGCTAACTATCCAAGGTTCACAGACTAAACAAGTGAATAACTTTGTCTACCTGGGAAGCTGTGAGTCTGTTGGTTGTACCAGTGGAAAGGAAGTTTCTCTTCTCATCGCCAAAACTCGGTCGATGTTTGTCAACCTGCAGCACTTGTGGCGTTGTCGTGATGTCTGCCTCTTGGTAAAGAGTCGTGTTGACAATGCCACCGTTTAGGCGATGTTGCTATACGGAAGCGAGTAATGGCCAATTCGCGTAGACGAAATGCGACGGCATTCAAACTTCGACAATGGGTGCTTGAGGAAGATTGATCGCGTGTGCCGGCAACAACATATTTGCAACAGTGAAGTCAGAGGTCGTGTCTTCGGGAATGCGAGTATTCCCTCCTACATGCTGATTTTGCTGCGCCAGTTAGTATGCCTCGGTCACGTCCTGCGCATGTCAGCTGAGCGTTTGACCCACTGTGCCCTTTTCGCTCGTGCAGGACTTGGCTGGGAGAGACCACGTGGAGGTCAGCCGTCCACATAGCGACAGCATATATGTATGTATTTCCTTTATGTATTGCGGCACAATAGCGGAGGTGTTTCCCACCTCTAGCTGACGTGATTTCTATGGTTTTGCTTGGCTCAATGTCTATTCAATAGACTGCTGCTTATACTACTACTTATATTCAGAGAAGGTGCGAAAACCGCCCGTAGTTGAGTAAGGAACTAGATAAAAAGTTTCGAAAGAATTACCAATAAAAGTTTAGGAAAAAATACAAAGCATCGTGCTGGCTAGTAAGTAGGACTCAAGCGCTGTCTCATAAACAAGGCACATATTCCGTTAATCCTGTCCAGCAATATGCGATCGTTTCTTGGGAAAATTGATGATTTTGCAAGCATTTTACAGCGAAGGGAATATATGAATGCAGGCATAGTAATGTTACAGGAAGGTTGGTCGCATTCTGACATCGATTATGAAATTTTTAGTGTTTTCATCCCAGCAGCTCACAAGCTACATAGCTCAGCCACAATCCGGAAAAGCACCAGACGCGTTTCGCCCCATTGGAGCTCGTTAGTGGTGCTCATTTCCTCAGTCCCCTACTGGGGATCGAACCCATGATCGCTAGAGGCAGATGCCAACTAGCCAGTAGCTTAAGCAACTGAGTCATGGGGGATGGCAGCTGGGCTACATAATTTGCTGGCTAGTTAGCATCTGCCTATAGCGGTCATAGGTTCGATCCCCAGTAGGGGACCGAGAGAATGCGCACCACTGACGAGCCGTAATAAGGCGAAACGTGTCTGATGCTTTTCCGGATTGTGGCTGCTCTATGTAGACGGTGGGCTGCTGGGATGAAGGTAGTAAAAATTACAAATAAAATCCTCCTATTCATAAGTGTTTATGAAATTGTTAATCTCAGTGTCTTCCACCACATTAGATCTGACCGCCCAGAAGAGCCCCAACATCGCGCTGTCATCACCTTCATCAGCGAAAATTGGTGTGAGTCCATTTCAAAATTCGGAGTACAGAACAGCATCAGTAAGCTGTTACCTACTGCAGTGCAAACAAAGTTTTTTGGTCGGTTTCCTAACTGTCGTAGTTATGGACTTGTATGCAGCTCCAGACACAGCGTTGTTCGAGCTGCAAAAATTTGCAGATCACCATACTTTAGAGTTGAGACCAGAGTAAGACTGCTCTATCTGTGTTCTCGTCTGCGACTTCAATGGGAGCGACACAACTTTCAGTAACACCATAGGCCTGGCCAATTTGGTGAAAATACCCAAAAGACTAGATGCGGATTTAGATATAGTTTTTAGAAACTCGACCTGTTTTCTACACAAGAGCGTGCTCCCCTTGTTAATTCCGACCACTGCACAATAAAGATATATCCCAAAGTGCATAGCAATGTCGACTACGTTGCGATAACAAAGACTATCCAGAACAATTGAACGACGGAACTGCTCAGCAGATAACATCAAGAAACAGAACAACGCTATTCAACTGATTTTCAATTTTTACAAACGAATATTTGTCTGTTCAATGCGAGCACCTCAGACTACATAAAGTTCTGTTTTGAGCTGTGTTGCTCCATTGAGACAATCTACCGCGAAATGTTAGATTTTCATCCCCGTTGCACACTCACTCAGCACCGACGTAGACAAACTCAGCGTTGAGTTCAGCTTTCTCATCACCGAACATACTCCTCCTGCCTTCTTTCACCACTACTGAGTCTCCCAGTTTATTTGATTCCACAAGTGTTTACAAGAAGCTCAAAAGACTGAAACTAATCAATGCCAGTAGATCAGACGCTCGATCAGCAGTCGCTTTGTAAGTATGTGCAGATGTTTTAACGACATTCCTGACAAAGATCTTGAGTCGGTGCTTAGCGACTGATACCATCCCCGATATTTGGACACCAACCAGAATAACACGTGCCCAGAAAAGGATATCAGAAGTGTTGGCCAACTGCGCGCACGATCGTGCTGTTAAATGTCTGGAAAGACTAATCGTCCTCAGGGATTTCACAAGCAGTCATACTGATGATGTCAAACAGTTTAAATATAAACCAGGGCGCTCTACATTGGATACCGTTTCGTATCTGGTGCATTCCATTGCGTTGGCGTCGGATAAGTGTGCACGGCTCCTATTCTTGATTATACTAACACCTTTGGGAGCCTCGACAGAT